CAAAACTAATTTCCCTGTGCAGGATTTTATTTTCTCCTACAATAAAAGTTTTTAACTACTGCTTTCAACTGCACCTATGACTGTATGATATTTACATCCTGAAGTTACAGAAGAAAATTTCTCTTTGCCACCAAGAACCCAACTTCTCCAGCCATCATAGTTTACCCCTTGTTCATCTTGACTAGCTCTGAATTTATTATTAGCGTGTCAAAATAGAATGTTTCTAATCCCTTTGAAAAAATCAGCCAATCACAAATGTTTGTATGTACCACAACTCTCTATTCTATACACATAGACAATACAACATATAATTATAATGAATCATTTTCTGTGATTCTCCTCCTTTTACACACATTATTTCATTGTATTTATTCACAGGAGGAAAGAATGCAAATATTTTATTAATTTTTTTGGTTGTTGGTTATATAACGTTAGTTATATTACTAAGGGGACAGAGATGAGACTACAGGAATAAATGCTGCAAAATATACTTCTGTAGGAAGACAGGAGGCACTGACTGACTACAGTCCAAATACAAATATTTGTAATTCCACTGTAAACTGACTCAAAACAGCAGTAGTTTTTTCCTTTGACTAACGTTTCTAGAAACCACTTCCCTCAAAGTGCATATCACAATAATAAAAAATTATTCAATAGCCCAGCCAACTCTGCCTCAAGTCCTGTGATTTTTTTCCCTGGATTTATCATCAATGCCAGCATTTGTCATAAAAACGTGATTATGAACAACAGTAACGCTTTATTTGAACTATTTTCTATTTCTAAATGATGTAACTTTGTCATGATGATAATCACACATATTACACTGGAAGTGTTGAAAAAGAAAAGTTCCATGTTTTTGATGCAAACAGAAAAAATTATTGTCTTCAGTGTGAGAGATAGCTTATAATCATATTCTGTATCTGTCAAGAAGCTACCGAAGATCAAATGTATTGTTAAATTTTAGTCTAAAAGAGCAAACATCCTTTTGATAGAAAATACTATTTTAAAAAATATATATGCACATCTCTAAAGATATATTCCATTACTAGGTTATACAAATGTAATTCATTCTATAAAAATAGTAAGATAAAGGCCAGGCTTCAAAGATTAGTCAACAAGTTCTGCACTTCCCATTTAACATGAGTTTTTGAACACGTGTTCCTCATAGAATCATAGGGCTGGAAAGGACCTTGGAGGTCTTCTAGTCCAACCCCTTGCCCAAAGCAGGAGTCCTTATACCATCCTGGACAAATGGTTGTCCAATATTTTTTTTAAAAACTCCAACGGTAGAACACCCACAACTCCGGTAGGCAAGCTGTTGCACTGATTAACTGTTCTCACTGTCATGAAATTCCTCCTCATTTCCAAGTTGGACCTCTCTCACATGTTCCAGTTCTTACTGCTTCTGAAACACAGGGAGCCTTCAGACACAAGTCACTTGTGATACAGGAGGGGAAGGTGGTTTGCTTATCAAAAAACTCTAGTTGCCCTCAACGTTTTTCATCGTGCCCTAAAGGCAGAGTACATAGTTTGTTTCATAAAAATTGCAAATAACTAATAATGTAGGTAATGAGAGAAAACCACATTCCCACAATGGTAGCTTATCCAGCAGTTTTTATTTTCCCATTTACAGAATAGCCATATGGAATTAATGGGCATATTCAGGTTTTGGGAAAGAGATTCATTCAACTTGTTACTGGAGTTTTTCTTTTTGTATGAATCCCTCAACTTTCCATGGGCCTCAATGGGTACCCAACTATGCAAATTACTTGTCGGCTCTGGAATGTTCTAGGGCACTGTCAGTTCTTGTTGACAAACAGTATATGTTTCATAATCTTATACAACTATATATACACGAAGAAATCCTTTTATATCCAAAAAGACATCAATGTGGTTTCTTTCAGCTGTTACACTCATGAATTAGTTTAGTTTTCAAAAAAAAAAAACTAAAAAAAAATTCAAATAGCTGCAAGGAATAATCCATAAATCCAGCAGGATTTCTCCCCACATTCCATGCATGGAGATTAGAAAAAAATAATCTATTCTGGTAATTATTTTTGATGAAATTCAAATTTGAAATCATCATTAGTACATATTTTCCTACCTCAAAATCAATGAGTTGTAGATCAGCTACTAGGGTGCTAAGAAGACCGCTGTTGTATAGTTCTTGAGCAAGCTGAGCTACAGCTTCTGTCTGAGGTTCCTTTTCATTGGTGCCATATAAGATTTCTTTCATGGCAACTAGGTTTTTTGAAACTTCTTCGGTAGCCTGCACAAAGAAAAAGGCTAGTTACTTTTAAAGCTGAAAATTGTTTCTTTACTAATTTTACTACTTTTTTTTTCATTTATCTTAACACACCTTTACTGAAGATACAAAGAAAAAAGATGTGATCAAAACAAAAAAAAGCAAATAACAAAAAAACAACAGAAGGGGAAATATATAGCATATATATCAAATTGCGAAGGAGTTTCTCATTCTATATTTAAAAAGATAGTTCACTAACATTACAAAATATCATAAAATCAATGTGAAAGAACATATTTAGTCATTAAATAGTATGATTTATAGATAACACTGTATTTCCAAAAGCAATTAAGTTACATATCTCTTGAATCAAATCCTTACTACCTTTCCAATTTTTCAAAAATAATTCACTTAGCAACACCCAAAACTCAATATGACCAAATCACTGCAAAAATAATCAGATCCCAAAGTTATGGGATGTAATTTATCATAACAGTAGCATCCTTATCACTGTAAAAACATCTCCCAGATGTCTATGGAGATTCTCAATCATCAGAACTGAAGAAGCTTCTTAGATGAGAAGCGAAATGTTTTCAAGGAAAAACAAAACAAGAAATTCCAGTTGGCTTTTTGGAAAAGCACCTTTGATCTCCCAGATATTAAGCTGAACAATTCTGGAACTGAAGATATCTCATTTAGGCCACCCTCTTTTTCTGAAAACACATAAAATATGTCCGAATCACACCTTTTTTATTACAAAGTTTCTTATTTAGGAACCTGTAAAAGATTCTCTGGACTATTAGAATACCCCTGTTTTACATATCTTTACAACATGCTTGCTAACTATTTTTTGGGCTGTTATAGTCTGTAAAAAACCAGGGGCCCAAGTTATTTTGCACACTTAAATACATTTAGTTTTTGACACATTATCATGCATATGTCACAAAATGGTCACCTTGGAAAAGCTTACATATTCCCAGCTGTTTTGCTGGGTATATCCTGTCACAAAGCTCAATACTCCAGAAAAGAAAGAGAGAAATGTGAGCATTTAGAAATGAAGAACGCAATTACTGAAAGCCAGCATGGGTTTGCTAAAAACAGAAGCTTTATTGGCTTCTTTAATTAAGTGACTAAATTAGTGAATCAGGGAAATGCTATGGATATAGTATCCTTGATTTCAGTAAGACATTTGACAAAGTAAACCACAGACTACTTCTTGGCAAGACAGAACAATGTAGAATAGGCAGTCCTCAATGGAACTACATCTACATGGAAAGCATGAAGTGGGCAGAATCAAAGTTCTGTTTTGGGCCTAGTGCTTTTCAATTACTTCATAAATGATGTAGATGAGGGAACAGAAGGGGAACTCATCAAATTTATAGGCGACACCAAGCTGGGAGGAACTGCTAATACTTTTAGAAGATAGGCTCAAGATTCAGAAGGACCTTGAAAGATTGATCATTGGCCCATCCGATAAGATGCAGTTCAGTGGTAAGAAAATAACATCCTGCACTTAGGCAGGAAAAACCAAATACATAAGTATAGAATAGGTATTTGGCTCAACAGTAGTAACTGTGAGAGGGATCTAGGTGGATCATAGCTTATGTATGAGTCAGCAGGGTGCTGCAGTTGCCAAAAAAGCTGGTTCTAGGCTGCATCAACAGAGGAATAGCATCAAGATCATGGGAAATTATAGTACTGCTCTATACTGTACTAGTGAGGCCACATTTGGAATACTGTGTCCAGTTCTGGTCATCATGACAGAAAACATACTGAGGCCCTAGAAAGAATGCAGAAGAGAGCAACCACAATGATAAGGGTTCTGGAGTCTAAATTATACAATGAATGGTTGTGAGAACTAGGTATGTTTAGGCTAATGAAGAGAAGGCTCAGGGAAGACACGAGAGTCTTCCATTACTTGAAGGGATGTCACAGGGAACAGGATGACAATTTATTCTCCATAGTACTGAGGGTAGGACAAGAAGCAATAGATGCAAGCTCATCAGAGGGAGATGCAACCTGGAAATAAGAAAGCATTTCCTGACACTGAGAATGATCAATCACTGGAACAGCTTGCCTCCCGGAGTTGTGGGTGCTCCATCACTAAAGGTTTTCAAGAAAAGATCGACAAACATTTGTCAGAACACCTGCTTTGGATAGGGGATTGAACTAGAAGACCTTCAAGGTGTCTTCTAGCCCTATGATTCTATGAAAGGGAAAGGAAACCAGACTAGTAGAACCAATGGGCATTATTTTCGGGACATTAGGGTGGCTTAGTGATGAGATATTGGATGTCTGGAGGATGTAAAAAAACAGTTATCATAATCTCTTGGAAGGATAAAAAAAAGTCAGGCAGAAAGAGGAGACAGACTATTAATTAAGTTCATATAGTTGACTATTTATAGCATCAAGAGTAATTATACACACCACAAGCACACTGCCCATTTAAAAATAAATGCTGAGGTTAACCAAAAAGATAGAATTAGATCAACATATATTCAGAAGCAGACAAAAAGTCACCCTAATATACCAGCTACTAAATGCAACTATTTAGGATTCTGCACCCAAAATCCCAAGAAAAGCTTCTCCTTCAAGGTGTATAATTTAAACCAAAAACAAAAAGACCTTGTCCTTTGCTTATTATGTTCAAGTCAGGATATTAGCTTGTCTCTTACTAAACCAGACTCAAACTACAGTTTGTTCTTGGCTTCTTTCAATAAATGTTGAGGAAAACTACATAAGAAATTATACTGCATAAAAATTATACACATGCATCAGTTGTATAGATTTTTAACTGAATTACGATTAGAAAGTCAGGGGGGTGCAATATTGTTATATGACTGCATTCTGAGTTATAAATTCAAAAGAGTAAAATAACCTCTGGTTATTTCCTCTGCTTCATATATGCAGGAAAAAAGTTTAATCATTTAAATTGTTTTTTTAGCCCAACAAGTTCTGTGGGCAATCCATACTTTATAAAGTATGGTAAATTTAAATTTCAATGAAGTTTATTTATTAGATTTTATACTGTTTCAATCATGTGACTTTTGGCAGTGTACATAAAAAACAAATATAATAAAATGCATATAAAATTAAAAACAATTCAACAAAAATATTTAAATAACAATTATATAATTTGAATTCTTAATTCTGAAAACAATTATTTCACTATAATTCTATCTTTGCTAGCTACTGGAGAAAAACTAAAAATATATGTAATGTTAGCTATCTCCTGAAATAATAATTCTAAAAAATCCATTTGTCTTTATGTACTTAAGTGGTCATACCAGAATACATACTTTTCTTATAATAGAAAAATGAGAATATAGATTTTCTCTGCTTCCCAAAATTGAAGCAGGAAATGAAGGAAAATTCTGCCCTCAGATGGAAGTGAAGTTCTTAAACTAAGAAACAGAATTCTTAGTTAAGAAGAAGCAAGAAAGACTACTTCCTTCTGTCAATCAACCACTCCTCTTTCTGAAAAGTGTAAGAGAATACAGGTAGTCTTTGACTTATGACCACAATCGGGACCAATTTTTGGTCATAAATTGTTGTGGTCATAAGTTGAGGCACCCACATGACTGGAAACAATTTACTGTTTTTACATGCTTATTAAGTAAATCATGCAATCATAAGTTTGAATCATATGGTCATTATGCAAATCCATTCTTTCAAAAGTCATGTGATTGCAGGGAGGGGCAAAAAAGTTAGGCAATGCTTTATGGGCAGTAAAGCACTGTTTCTAGGCTGTTATGCTTCAAATGGTCATTAAATGACCAGTCATAAGCTGAGGACTACTTTTGTTGTAGAAACATATTTTAAGCAAGAACCACATGTGAAGGATTCGAAGTCTAACTGAAAAGTATTGCAATTTAAATATTGCATTATGACAACAAAATCTTCCTCCATCATTACTACTTCTAGGCATTTAGTCCAGGGAAATGTTTTGTGAACATAAAGTTACCATTTCAACTGAGAAGTAGATTAGGCAAATAAGAGTTCTGGTAGATTAATAGAGTAATGATAGATTAATGAACAGTGGGATATAAACTATAAGAAAATCAGGCGACAGTGAAAATGTAGATGGGAAAGTAAAGAAAGTTTTTGTTTGTTTATATGGGAACAGAGAAAAGTTTCAAAGAAAAAATATAAACGTTATTAAAATAATGCTGATAACAAATTAGTAAGAGTTGGAAAAGGTTCAGCGGCAGTAGATTTTCCATGTAATGTCCTTCTACAAAGGTTATGATCATTATTTGCCAAAAATAAAACAACAGATACTGCTGCTGAGGATTAACAAAAATGCTTGGGAAAATTTGTACCGTTAAACAATCCCTCCAGGACAGTTCCATAAAAAGAAAATGTAAACTTTACCTTTTCTACCTTCTTGTCAGAAATATCTTGTTTTTCTAGAACTGCCATACTTTCTTTCAAATTCTTCACTATGTCTGCAGGAGACTTGTGTGATTTGCCAAAGGGAAATGGCATGCTTGCAAACGACAAGTGTCTTTTCTTCTAGAAGTCTTCTTTTACCTAAAAATTAAGAAGGGAGAGAGTTAAGAGTAGTAAAGAAAGTATGTAACACCTGGATACAAAAAAGCGGAATTCAGCCTGAGATTTTCAGCTTCAAATTACCGCAGATACATTGGAGTATATCAGTCTAAGTTTAGTTCTACAGAAGTTAGCAATCTCTATAAAAATTAGAATTTAGCCTATCCAAATTAATTAATTTTCAAATTAATATCTTACAGATACAAAACAGTTCTGACTTTTTTAATATTTTGGGCAATAAACTTTCCAAAAACCACCTGCAGACCAAATGCTTTAAACTACAAATTAGAGCCATCTTAAATATGCAAAATATTATCTCTATAGAAGAGGGGTCTCCAACCAACCGACTGTGGAACGGCACCAGTCCAAAGCCCGCCAGGAACCGGGCCACGCCAGCAAGCGAAGCCCAATCCATGCATGTGCAGGATACAGGCAGTAAGCAAAACCATGTCTCCCTGGCCCACAGAAAAAAAGCCCTCCATGGAACCAGTCCGACACTCAAAAGATTTTTTTTGGGGGGGGGGCAGCTGGTATAGAACAGTTCCACACAATTTTTGCAGTTTACTCTTTCAATTTTATAAAATATACAGGTGGTAGCTCCTACTCAAAATTTATCTGTTTTAGAAACTAAGCAGGAGGATCAGGCTTCATTACTAACTGAGCAAGACAGTTCCAGAGAATATCATGTCTAGAGGCATCCTGGGAGAAGGCAATGGAAAATCACTTCCATACTGTTGCTGAAAAGATATATTATCTGTAAGGATATCGGCACAGGAATCAAGTTCAACCTGAATTTATTTAATTAGTTTCTCAGCATCCAAGTAGGTGAAAGTGCTATTTAATAATTAATCCCTTAAGTTACTTTATGACTGAGAACAAAAACAGCCTTTTAAAAAAAAAGCTAAAGGGCTATTTACCAAAAAAAAAGCTTGGTGAAGCTAAGGGAACATAGTTGCCCCATGAAATGTACTCAGGAAGCAAAATGTAATTGCCTAGTTAGTCCTCACAAATATGAACTAACATGGTTAAGGCTGGCTGGAGCTTTTGGAGGTGGAATTCAAGCATTTCCACAGGAATTAGGTTAGGTGGGCTGCCTCTATTCCAGGGGTGTCAAACTCAATTTCACTGAGGGCCACATCAGCATTGTGGTGCCCTCAGGGGGGGCGGGTAGGTGTGGCCCACTGGGTGGATGTGGCTGCAATGGTCAGAGATGAGTGGGTGAGTGTGGCCAGGTGGGCATGGTCACCTCACCATTTCTCGATGGGGGGATGCCTGTGGGGGCTGGACAGGGTTGGGGGAGATCCAGGGGGTTTCTGGCAGGTAGGGCGGTGGGCAAGAAGCTTCTCCTGCGGGGTGAGGTGAGGCAAAACAAGGGACAGGGCAAGGAGAGGCATGGGCCGGGGCTGCTGCTGCCTGACACCATCGGCCCCTGTACAGAGGCCAAGGAGTGCATGGGGCTGACGGTGTTCATCAGCAACCACAGTCTGCCGGCCCCTCGACCGGCGCACTCTGCAAATACCAGGCCATCCCTCCAGCAGCAGGCGGAGTAGGGGAGGCGAGGGGGTGGGAAGCACGTGATGCGCCTACTCAGTCCCATCTGTTTTTGCTTGGAGTTGGAGAGATCGCTGTTGGTCATCTCCTCGGCCCCTTTGCAGATCTTGCCCTTGCCCTGTGCGTGGAGCCTGTTCCCCTCATGCACCTCGGCCCCACCTTGGGCTGGCTCCACCAGAAGCTTGTGCAGGTCCATTAAGCTGCTGCCGCCCGGAACAGCAGGCCTGCCCAGCATAAAGGAAGCGAAGCAGCCACCTAGGAAACTAGAGTAGAGGTGGTAGAGCATGCCCACGCCCAGTAAGCAAAAGGCCATCCCAAGCAGGGAAAGCCGGATCCCCATCGGCGCTATGGTTGCCCAGGCCCAGCCAGGATTGCGTACCTCCTCCCATCTCTGCTGGGGCTGGACAGCCATGGCACCGATGGGGATCCGGCTTTCCCTGCTCGAGATGGCCTTTTGCCTGCTGGCCCGGGGCGTGCTCTACCACCACTACTCAGGGCTTCCTAGCTGACCGCTTCGCCTTTGTGCTGGATGGGCCTACAGCTCTGGGCGGTGGCCTAATGGACCTGCACAAGCAGCTGGCAGCCGTGGCTGTGGCGGGTACCAAGGTGCGCAAGAGGAATGTACTCCACCCGCGGGCCAAGAGCAACACCAAGGGGGCTGAGATGTCCAGTGGTGACCTATTCTCCAACCAAAAAAAATGGGACCGAGTAGGTGTATCCCGTGGTACACATCACATGCCCTGACTCGTTCTGCCAGTGCCACCGCAGCGCTGCTGCTGGAGGGCCAGCCCAGTATTCACAGCAGACTATGCATTCCCTGCTGCCAGACGACATCAGCCCCCATGTGCTCATCGCCTCCAGTGCGTGTGCCTTGGGGACTGCCAGGCTGGGCAGGGCCAGAGCCAGGGCAGTGGGGGTCAGTCCCTCGCCATCTCCAGGACATCTCCGTGGGCCAAATATTGGCCAATCGTGGGCCGGATATGGCCTGCGGGCCTTGTGTTTGATGTGTCTACTCTATTCCATCCCATTGAGCAATTTAAATGATATAATAATATAGAGTAGAAGAAAAAATTGTTAAAAACCAATGTAAACAATTAAATGTTAAGAGACATCTTTTAAAATGAAGGCTAAATGAATGGGAAATTGATAAGCAGAGATATTTGAATGTAGAAAAACATTCCTGAACATTAGATGATTGGGTTATAGAAAACTGTTCACAGCAAAATGATTATTAAAATATCTTCATTAAATATTCTAATTAAAACAACATTTTAATGCTGGAAAAATACCTCTTCCAAGTCATCTGTTACTAGCTATTTCTCAAATACTATATGAGACATGCCAGTACTACACAAAGTGGTTTGTATTTGCAAATATTTTTCATTAATTATTAAGCAACTAGTTTTAGATTCCAAAAGTCTTTTATGAATGACAAAATAAAAAGAAAACCTACTTGGCAAACAGCTGTAATGTTTTTGTTAGCAGATGAGAAGTGCCAAATCAAAAACATGCACAGGGGTGATTAATATTCAAGAAGCTGTAAAAAAAATCTTAAATCTATTTTATGGGGAAAGGAAACATATAATAAGAATTAGGAGCTATGCGATATTTAAGAATACAGGAAAGCAAAATAACACCCTGCACAACTGTACTTCTCAGCAGCAGCAGCAGCCGAGAAGGTCCCATCGCCTCTGCTACCCTGTATTCCAAGGTCCGTTGTGTCCAGCTGACCATAGGTGTCTTCTGCTGCTGAGGCCAGCCCAGTCCTACACGAGGCAGCTGTTGGCTGCACCAGGCCTTCTTCCCAAACCTGATTACTACTATTCTCCAAATAGAAACACCCCATTTTTATCATGCTTCAGAAGACCTCAGAAGATTTCCAAAGGTTTCCAAAGGTTTTGCAATGGCAACCAGCTGAAGGCTGCTGCCAAGGAGGTCAACAAGCTGCAACTTCAAGGACCGGGCAAAAGTAACATTCATTCAGCACTGCTGTAATTTTGAACAGTTGCTGAACAAATGGTATTAACTCAAGGACTACTTGTGTGATAGAGATAGCCACAATTAATTAAAAAGTTTCTAAAAATAAACATGTACAAGAGTCTAAATTTTAATCATATTGAAATAGTGGATGGCTATTTTGCTAATACTCAGATCTTAAAGAATGATAGCTGAGATTTTAGAATAAATGGTACACAGATTCCCTACCTCTTTGTCGTATGCAGAACAATTTTGAAAAGGAAGAGTTAATGTAAATTTATTTCCTGTCCATTTCCAATTCTCCAACTGTAAAATTTAAAGCAAGTACTACCTGTAGGCTATAATATTTTGTGTATGATTTCATTTGGAAGGCAAGTCAGAAGTGACCAATCATCCTGAAAGCTAAAAAATACAAAACTCAATGAACTCTTTTGCCATACATACTAAGTAGGTATTTAATCGCTTTAGATCAGGGGTGTCAAACTGCCGGCCCATGGGCATGGTGAAACCGCTCCCCCCCGATTGCCAGCAATGGGAAAAAAAAGTCACCATACATCGTGACACGTCACGTGACGTTGCAAGTTTGACATCCCTGTTTTAGATCCTCCATCGTATTCCAAGAGATAGCTAATATCAAATTTCAAGTAACTTTTCTTGGTGACATAAAATCTTTGAAGCTTGCATATTTTCAGAAAGGTAGCTCTGCTGTGTGCTGTCATATAATGTTGGCAAATCAAGAAAAATTAACTTTGCAGTTTTAACATATTTCATAATCATCAATAATTTAACGGATGAAAAATACTTAAATACCAACAAAAGGTTTATTCTAAAAAAGTAACATAATTTCACAGACACCTACCCAAATTCCCACTTTCCCTGAAGTCGTGATTCTAGAACTTCTCCAGCTGAGGGTTGTTTGGAAAGAAGGGGATGTATACCCTTTCTATTAAATTAAGGTTGCTGTTCATTACTTAGGAGTAAGCACATGAACACATTTACTTAAGAGAATACACATATAGGACTGCACTATCAACTAGTTTCTTTCAATCAAAGATAAAAGACTAAAGTGCATTTTTCCTAAACAATGACTGCATTTGGCTTTGAGAACTACAGATAGTTTTCGAGTTAAAACCATTTGTCCAGCAACCATTTGAAGTTAAGGCAGGGCTGAACAAAAGGACTTACTATCCATGCACAAAGTTAACAGCCACTGCAGTGCCCTTGCAATAATGTGCTCAAAATTCAGGCCTTTAGCCCATACCCACCCCCACACTTAGGACCACCAAGGTGCTTCCACTCCCATCTTCCCCCCCCCCACCTATTCCCTTCGGCTACCTGCACACAGTGGCTCCTAATAGTTGACTTCCATCATCTTGTCCCACTGCTGACCAAGTCCTTTTCAAGATAGGTATT